TCGTCTGCATTTCCAGCTGAAATGGTGGGATCGGCCTAGTTAAGCAAATTGCCTACTGTCTATTATCTCTTGTTCAAGTTAAACAACGCATACATCTTCATCTATATTTACAACGACATTCGTACCTAACCTATTGAGCTCTTAAACTACTGACTAGCATTTGCCATTATCAGCCTCATGAACACTTTTTAAGCTCAGTCTTCTTCACTATCACTGGCAAAGGGATTGACTTCTTCTTCACTGTCAGAGTCTTTTGCAGGTGCTGCAGCTGTTGCTTATGCTACTGCATTGCCTCTGGACTTCTCTTCCAGTATGCAGGTCCAGGCTCTTCTTCCTGGAGCACTTCCTCTGCTTCAGCGATTGCCGCTGCATGTCGTGCTGCTGCATCTGCTGCTGTTGCCGCCCTCTTTGCCGCCCTCTTTGCCGCCCTCACCGCTGGCGATCTCTTGTGCTTTTCGGTCTGCACGGCTTGCACCATCACCACCTCCTTTGCCTGCCTCGGCTGCTTCACCCCCCGCCACCTTGCCACCATGGATTCCCAATCCATGTCGTAGTCGAGCAGGGAGATAGTGAGGAGGCCGCACAACTTGGCATCGCACAAGTTGCCTCTGAGCCAACTCTTAATAACGTTCTGCTGACTGAAGCCCCTCTCACACTCCACCATGCTGAGAGGGAGTACTGCCACCGCAATCCACACCAGCACCAAGTTGGGGTACGCCGTCTCCCAGTTGGGAGAGGCCAGCATGTTGTTCAAGCCGTCCAGGAACCCGGAGTCCTTTTGATGTGTAGACATGATGGTCGTGAATTGTGTCAGCTCCTTCTTCGCCTTGCTCCAGTTGACCCCTGACAGGAGTGTGCAATGGAGAAGGGAGATGGAATGAGAGGAAGGGCGAGACCGTTCAGCAGTCAAAGAGCATGGGTATGCGAAACCAGCAAGCGTGCCAGATGCAATCTTGGGATCAAAGCATGCAAATGATGCAACAGTGCATGGGATGACTAACCTCGCAAAGTGCCAGGAGTGTCTGGGGCGTGCTTGAAGAGATTCCGCAAACCACCTAGCCACAAAGGAAAGCGTCGTGCCCTCTTCTGTCTCGTCCTGGGGTAGGCTCCTTGGCAAAAGAGCTTGGTGCAGTTGAGGTTGTTAAGATCGGCCAGGCGCGAGTCGATGTCGTTCAGCATCTTCTTAACGAAAGCCGTTGCTCGGGTTGTCAACGACCCTGTGTCTCCGTCACTCCGCTGGCCGTGGATTGGATTCTCATGCAGCTCGTAGGTATGGATGAGTGGCGTCCCGTCCGCGTCTACGCCCCGGATAGTGACCTGCCGGTTTCGGATGTCGGCGTGCTTGGCGATGAACTCCACGAGAGCAGTGTTCCCATGTCCGAAGTGTTGACCGTAGTTGACGTAACGCCCGCGCAGAGTAAGCTTAGTGTTGTCCACCATTTGAAGCATGTGCGTTATATCGACCTGAGGTAAGGTGGGGAGGGGCGGGCGGGAGTAGGGGCGGGTGGGAGGAAACAACGGGAATAATGAGAACACGAACATACAGTTGCCACTCCCTTAACGTCTCCCCCTCACCTGTCGGCGCTGGAACTTCAAGTTGAGGATGTTCAGCTCCTTCAGGATGTCGACAAGGAAGTAGAGGAGGAAGTGGAATTTGAGGCTGATTACCATTTGGTAGGCCTGGTGATCGTACTCTGAAAGAAGAATGATTGCACTGGGGAATACCTAGACAAGCCGCTGGATTGCCTCACCTCGAGACAACCACCTGATGTGGATTCCATGCATTTTCAAGATTAGTCTCTGTACCCACTTCTTGCAGCTGCTTGAAACAAGTGTGAACCACAATCGAACGGCCGAGGACCTCGGCAAATGATCACATGACCTTGTCAACAATGATAAGGTCGGGAAAAGATGTTGCGAGCGCCTCCCTGCCAAGCAAAAACGGAAGGTATTACTTTTTTTTTCGTTTAAAACCAAAGCAAAAACAACTTGGTGCACCAACAACCTGTGGGCGATGCAGTGGCAGCTAACAAGATGCGAGATTTGCTCTCGAAGCCATGCTACGAGCCCTGTTTGTGCCCCGGTCATCACGCTAGCACCATCCGCGCGGATGCCACAGATCCTTTGCAGGTCTATCTCCGTTGATTCAAGGTGATTGAGCAAGACCGCATGCAGTGACTTGGCGTTGCATTTCTCCACTGTCATGTGGGTGTAGAACTCGGTGATGACTACGCGGTCGCGAAGGAAGGATAGACGATTATGTGCTTCCCCCTTCCACGGTTGGTGCTCTCGTCCAACTAAATGCCAAGGAAGGGGCTCGCTAGGATGTGCCTCAGTTGATGCGCACGCAGGTAGCCCACCATGGTTTCCACCATCTGGGAAAAGCCGTATCTGCCAGAAGTAGCACGAGGGAATCAGTCGTGGCAGGCAGGATAAAACAAACAAACAAGGCAAATCAAGAGAGGTAGCGTCGAGTATACGGGCAAAGACGAATGGCTTATTCGGAATAGTACGTGCCGTTCTCCTTCAGGGGCATGTCGGGCGTCCCCTGTTTTGCCATGAGCTGAACAAGGGACACGAACAGAACAATAGGCGCGTCAGACTTGCAAATCAAAAGAACAATCGCAAGGAGCCTTTTCAAACGACGAGCATCCTCGTCGCCATCCTCAAAGTCGACAATACTCTTCTGGTTCTTCACTTTGCCGTCCCTACGAGTGCATCAAAAGAAGTACTTGGAGGCATTGGCTGCAAACTTTGGGAAGAGTGAAGGTCATGTGGCTACTCCTCTTCCCTCCGGGTTCAAGTGTGTGAAAGGACCAGCGGAGGAAAGTGTTGGTGAAGAGGAGAGGCGCCGTTTTCACTCCTTGGTGGGCAGCCTCATGTATGCGGCCGTTCACACAAGGCCGGATGCAGCCTTTGCTACCGGGCAGCTGGCTAGGGTTTTCCAATGCCCTAATGAAGAGCAGGTAGTAGCTGGAGAGGGGGTGGCCAAGTACCTTGGCCAAACAGCAACTGTTGGACTACAATACTCCGCGGCGGCACAAATGCGTCAAAAGGGTGCGGATGGAGTCGAACCCGGGAGGCTCTTTCTCACCGCCTTCTCTGATGCATCTTGGGGCATGAGAACCGGAGGATATGACAAGTGTTGGAGGCTTTATCTTCTGTGTTGGTGGAGGACCAACAGCTTGGGAGAGCAAGAAACAAGTGGACCAAGCATTGAGCTCGGTGGAGTCCGAGTACATGGCACTCTTCCATGCCATAAGAGAGGTTGTGTGGCAGCGGTGTTTGCTAGCTGAATTGGGGGAGGAGCAGCAAGGACCTACCACACTCTATTGTAATAGCCAAGGTGCTATTGCATTGGCTTAAAATCCTGTACCTCATGGCCTTACCAAGCACATGAAGGTGAAGTGGCATTGGGTGAGGAGCATGGTAACCTCGGGTGAAGTGGAATTGCACTACGTGAAGACAACAGCGCAGGAAGCTGACATGATGACCAAGAGGCTGGTTGAGCAGCAGCATTGGAAGTGTTGCAAGCTTGCTGGGATGGCTCTGAACTAAGGGGAGCAGATTCTAAGGCCAACAATCCGAGGGGGAGTTTGTTGGTGCAACCCTATGGCTTGCACTCGGCTTGTTGTCCTTGTTGGTGTGTGTGCATGCATGGAATGGAATGACTTGTGAGTCTATGGCATTGCTATCTAGTTCTTGTGTGTGTGTTTGAATGGTGTATCACAATGTGATTTGTGTCGGTCAAGACATTAGCGAGTTTTCACAACTCGCATGTCAAGTCGTCGTTTGCGTATCGCATGTGTTTTTTCTATTTTTGTCGAGTGTGAAATGTCCATCGTGTCGCAGGTGTGTGCAGCAAGCCCTCATCTACTCAAGAAGAATTTATCTTGCAGAATCAAGACCAAAAGCTCAAGATTTCAAGCCCAAGGGACATGGATTAATATTAAAATAGTAAAAATAGTAATGCTACTTCAAGTAGTGTTACATTTCACTTGGTGTAGCCCCTTGTTGGGTTTGTTTCGAGTCTCCTCATAGATGGGGACTCTGTGGTGGTGTACCACCAACTTGGACCTCGGCTCATGGGGTATGTAGAGGTTGGGAACCATCTCTACCTCAAACTCTTCTTGGTAAGTTTGTACTCCTAAGACAAAAGTGGTTGCTGTACCTTCTGCCAGTCAAACCGCGATAGCGTCGTCAAATTTTCATGGAGTTTTATGATTCAACTTGCTGCTGATAGGCGACAGCAACGCGCTCCATATCCAATTTACAGATTACCATTTGAGGCATAGATCAGATCGGAATTAATACTTGAATTTGTCTAACGGAATTCTGACTGTGCACAATTTCTCACATTTTTTGGCACATCTGAGCTTATTGTGATTATAACAAGTGGTATCAGAGCCCCTTGGAGCCATTTCGACCATGCCTAGATCTGGGGAAGCACCATTCAAACACACACTCAAGCAGTAGATAGCAATGCCATAGACTCACATCTCATTCCATGCCATGCATGCACACACACCAACAAGGACAACAAGCAGAGTGTCAGCCATGCGGTTGCACCAACACCTCACACATCCCCCAGCACATGCAAGCCCTAAATTTGGCGAAGGGCCAAGTGCCCCCTCACACAACCCCCCAGCACACATCGAGTAGGGGAAACATGCACTTATTATGGCTGGGGAATCACGTTGTTACAGAGGCTACAGGGTCTACTACAATAGCAACGCTGTACAAACAGAGTTCAACCATAAAAAAACCTTGAAAATTTAGGGTTGTGTCTAAAAAAAAATTCCTAGCGCATCAGGGTTGGTGAGGTAAAAAACCTCTGAAAAAAACCCTGAAACAGAGAAATTTGATTGAAATCTGAGGGCCTGCTGGCAGGGCTTCGGCATGGCAGGGCACTCAAACAAGGCATGTGTGCAGTTTCTGAGTTACTGATGGGCATGCCAGCAATCTGCCGGGAACATTTGGGGCGAGACCAGTCCCTATTTTTCACGAGTAAATTACTCTGATTCTCTGATTTTCAGAGTTGATTTTGTGTACCACCCTTACGCCTCTGGGTAAATTTTTTAGATTTTATGTTTTCTCTGATAAGCCAGGGTTTTTTTTTGTACCACCCTGAGGGGTTTACTGTAAGGGGGATACCCCCGTATTTTCGTGTACCCCCCCTGTCCACATACATGCCCCCATTTCCTCGCCTTGTTCACGCAGACCGCCGAGCTGGCCCACGTCATATGTTGCCAGACCCACCCTTGCTGGCAGATAACCTTCTCTCCTATTGGACACTAGTGTATTTTTTACGCAGGTTTCGGCGCCACACCCGAGTTTACCACGTCGACTGTTGCCACACTTGTACTCGCTGTACGTGTATGTGCCTCTGATTGGCCCCTTCGTCATTTTTTGCAGCCACGCACATCGACAGGCATGCAACACTGCGGGAATCTTTCCCCGCACGCGCGGGCATATGCCCTTCTCGAATGTTCAGGATGGCTCAGGAAGGCACCCAACCTTCATGTCGATGGCGCCTCGGGCATCAAGAACAGGCGAGAAAAGCATCGTCTTCTTCACCCTGTTCTTCTCCCCTGTTATACATCGGCAGTAGGCGCTAGTGTACCAGTTTAGCAACCCTCTCTCACATCTCGTCGAACATGATCTATTCCGCCAGCCTCGAATCCTCTCGTCGTCCCGCCTCGCCAGATATGGCTGGCCTGGGCGATGCCGACGATGGCGGGGAGGATGAGGATGACGCCCCACCCCCACGTAGCTCGACCCCACTCAGCGGTTTAGACTTTTTGCGTCGCACAAACGCCTCCCCAGTAGACCCTCCTCCGTTCCCGAAGCGTCGACTTACCGCCCCCCCAGTAGAGCCTCTGCCGCTCCCGAGTCTAAGCAGCGACGAATGGGAGCGTGAAATGGAAGAGGCGGATCTGTCGGTTGACAAGCCGGCAGATCCTCCACCTCCGGATCCTGTGCCCTCGTCGCCGGCATCTGCATCAACATCGTCGGCTAAGAAGAGACGACGATACCAGCAGAGACATGTGCCCTTCGCGCCTCCTCCCAAGATAACGCCGCCAGCAACCCCTGCCCCCGTCGTTGAAGCAGAGCGACCCCTCGCACCAACGTCGGCCGAGATGAAGGCCAAAGCTTATCTTGCTGCTCAGAAGAAATATACCTCAGATTGGCATGGAAGGTTTCCTTGGCTCGTCTTGGATAAAACTGACGATGGCTCACCCTGTTTACGTTGCAGTGTGTGCATGCAGCATGGCAAGCCGACAGCCCGCTACGGTCGCGATGGGCCTGGCGGCAGGGACTTACAGATTGGCAGCATGCGGTGGCACGAGGAGAGCACCAAGCATGAGGCGTGCGTGCAGAAGCAAGCTCACCTTGACAAGGAAATCGAGAGCCAGAAGCGCATGGACGACTTCGCCAAGAACAACCCCGATGCCGCCCGCGTCGCAGGTATGGATTCAGGGAGATGGTGAAAGCCATGGTGGCTTTCTTGAAGGCACAGCAGATGGAGCACATCGACTCCTCCCCGTTCATCGGCATCAGCTGCGACGAGAGTACCGACCGCACCCGCGGAAAGCACCTCATCGTCTTCGGCACCTTCTTAAAGAAGCGGCGCGTCGTCACTGAGTTCTTGAGCCTGCTCACCATCGACAAGTGTGATGCTGCGTCGCTCCAGTCTGTCCTGCTGGGTCACCTTGAAGGGAGTGGCATTGAGCTTCAAAAGATCGCCGGTATTAGCACCGATGGGGCATCGGTGATGACCGGCGAGAAGAACGGGCTCGTCGCTCGACTCCGACTGCGTATCCCGCACCTTGTCGGTTGCCATTGCATTGCACATCGGTAAGACTGCCGTCGCAGTACCCTCCTGTCCATGTCTCTATGATTATCCATGCATGTTTCTAATCTCACTTGTGCCTTGGTGCCATCGCAGAGAAGCGCTGGCGGTCAAAGACGCCTCCAACTCCTTCCCCGACCTGTTCATCGTCGACGTTATCATCCGAGCTTTCGGGTCGCTCGACTCCGTGGTACGAAAGGTTCAAGGCTCTGCAGCTTGTCATCCACGACACGAACCTCGAACATCAGGGGCTCTACGCCATAAGGTGGCTTGCACGTGGTGACGCTGTGCGGCGACTCTGCAGGATTCTCGGCGCAGTCATCGTCGTCTTCATCGAGTACAAGCACAAGCACGTTGCGCTTCTGAAGTCCTTCAAGTTCCACTTCTGCCTCAACTTCCTCGCCGACATCCTCGCTGAGCTCAACACTCTGAACAGGTTTTTCCAGCGCCGCACGGTAAGTTGAATCTTTTTCGTTCCTGTCGCAACTCATTGAGTTCATTAATATCTTGGGCGTGTGTCTAGCGTGAAACTTGTTCTAACATCCTGTCCTTTGCCCTTGCCCTCCCGCCCCAACCTTCAGGTGGACATCACGCTCGTCACCCAAGAGGTCGACCGCACTGTCACCTACATCAAGCACCGATACATCGAGTACGGGGAGCGGTTCGGCGGCGGGCTCAACAAGCAGCTCGACAAGTTCCTCGCCCGCTACAAGGAGGGCAGGGGGTCGCTCGAGGTGCACGGCATCGCGGCGGATGGCTCTCCCTGCACGCACAAGTTCGAGCTCACGTTATCGCGCATCCCGGGACATGCGTTCGGCGGCACTCCTTCCGACTGCGAAGACCTTTGCACGGCGTTCGCCAAGGAGACAGTGGGGTGCTTGGAGGGGCGGCTGTGGGACATGAAGCGGATGGAGGGGTCAAAGCTCTACAAGGTGGACCAGTGGCCCAAGAAGACAGAGGTGCGGGAGCGCCGGTGCCGCAAGTGGGCTGAACAGAATATGGCGCTGTTTGACAACAAGCTGCCAGGTCAGTGGCTCTAAAAGGGGTCCTGTCGTATGTCTTGAATCTGGTTAGATGCGGTGTCTCCTCTGTTACTTCAACACCTCCTTTTCGTGCCATGAACGCCCCTACCCCCCCCTCCCTCCCCGCCAAAAGGAGTCGAACTGCGAGCGATGGAGTTGGAGCTGAAGACCTTTTGCCACATCATGAAGACTCATCGCAAGGACGACGACTTCGCCCAGGGTTTGGCCAATATGATGAAGACGAAGGACTGGTCCAAGTCGTACCCGAACCTGATGCGGATGTGGCAGGCGCTGGCGGTGTTGCCCTTGAGCACCGTCGAGTGCGAGCGCGGATTCTCACGGCAGAATGTCATCAAAGGATGGCATCGCACAAGCCTGTGCGATGCCACCCTTGGTGAGTTGATGACCATTAGCATGCTGGACTACGACATGGACTACCCCCAGATCGTGGAGAAGTGGAGGCGCATTAGGCACCGTAGGCAAGCTAGGAATGTTGAATTTGAGCAGGAAATTCCCCTCTTCCCACAGCAGAAGGATGTTGTAGAGAGCTCAGACGATGAGAGTGTCGGAGGTGGGAGTGAGGATGACAACGTGGATGATGATTATTAGTTATGTAATATTGTGCTATGCTTTATTACTAAAACAACTGTTGCTGTCACTATTTTACTCTGTGCAACTAGCATTCACCAGAGCCGGAAAAAATACCCCCCTGTTTAGCCAGAGTAAAAATATTGAAATTGTGGGGTTACCCTGATGCCTCAGGGAAAATGTTGAGGACCACTCTAGTTTTCAGAGTAATGGTGAAAGAAGCTTTCAGATTTCAGAGTAGTGAAAAACCAAAGATCAGCTCTCGCCGCGAGACTTGTCAGATTTTCGAGCCTAATTCGGAGGTCAGGACGGTAGCAGCCAGGCTCGGCAGGTCGTCTGGCGGTCGTGCATGTGTGGAACCTAGCTGGTGTTATCCTGGTGGTCTGTCAAATGTGCAATCGAACAACACCAAGATGGTTGTTCAGATGAAAAATTATTGGCTGTCAAGAAATCAAATAACACGCGAAAAGTGAGTATGATTCACAGATGAGCAGACAGATTTCGTCTGCTAATAGGAACCCTGACCGACAAATGAGGCCGAACGTGATGAGGAGAACGCAACCCAGCACAGCATTTCGGACTTTGCCAGTGCTGAACGCAACCCGAGCTCGTAACAAATATGGGCGTGTCCCAAGAGTACGTCTGCTGTGTGAATTATGCGGTCCAATATGGTGTATCTTGATTTAAAGCAGTAAAGCTTGAGAACCATTTCCAAACGTGTCGCACCGTACATCATCGTATTGGGGATGTTCGCTTGGGACACTCCCTAATGGTGCCGAACTTCGCGAGCAAGCCATCAACTGAGGGCGCAAAACACCATTGGGACACGCCCTAGCGCGAACAGGGATGGTTGTTGAAATAGGTTACCCTTTTCGCCAACACCGTCAAATACTTGTCGCCAACGTCGCCCTTCACTCGTCGCCAACTGCTCGTCGCTAAGTGTCGAGCCAGTGCTAGAGCCCGCAGGTGTGGTGGGTGTGGTGTGGGCATGCCCAGTGACGGATCTGGTTCCGCATTTCTGGGCTCAGGAACTGGATCCACGCCCTCCAGCACTGGCAGATCAGCGCTAGAATCTCGGCCGTTGAAGTAGGTGGGGCGATTTCACGCGGCCTCTGCTTCGTTTGAGCAGGTACGCTGCGCGCCGCTGCTCCCATGCCAGCATTGATGGAGCGTCCCTCAGGATCTCCTCCCGCCCCGCCCCCCTCTCATCTCCGCCCCGTCCCCCTCTCATCTTCGCCTCGCTGCGTCGCGTCGTACCGTCTGTCCGTCCCTGTTTCCCGCCGTCCTGTCGCGCGCCGCTCCTTGCTCTCCATCTCGCCTTACTTTATTCCCGCCGGGATCCGCCGCGCCGCGCACATCCGAAACCGCCGCAGCCGCTGGCGCTACGCAGGCCGACACGGGCCGCGCGTCGCAGCCGATCGTTGAGTGCCCCCCCCCCCCTGCCGCACCGCCCCGCTGCTGCCTAGACGCCGCGCTCTCGCTTTTCACCAATCTCTCATTATCCTCCCTTTCTCCCCTCGCTCATTCTCACACGCACACGTAATTTCTCTCCCGCCTTCCGTTTTATCCAGCTCCGTTCCCCACCTTCCTCCTTCGCCCTCTCCTTCCGACTGTGCCGACTCGCCCACTCCTGCCATTCCCTCATTCCACATGCCATTCCCTCATTCCACATGCCTCGGCTCATTCCACATGCCTCGGCTCATTCCACATGCCATTCCCTCATTCCACATGCCTCGGCTCATTCCACATGCCTCGGCTCATTCCACATGCCTTGGCTCATTCCACATGCCTCGGCTCATTCCACATGCCTCGGCTCATTCCACATGCCTTGGCTCATTCCACATGCCTTGGCTCATTCCACATGCCTCGGCTCATTCCACATGCCTTGGCTCATTCCACATGCCTCGGCTCATTCCACATGCCTCGGCTCATTCCACATGCCTTGGCTCATTCCACATGCCTCGGCTCATTCCTCTCTCCCCGCGTGCCCCACATCGCCACGTTCAAGCCCTCCCTGACCCGCCCTGCCGTCTCGCCTTCGCCCCTCACCCAAACCCGATTTCTCCACACCAAGCGCGCACCACGAAGCGAGGGGCGCCTCTCAATGCCTCACCTTCAGATCCCCAACCCCACACCCGCCCTAAACCCCAGCCCCTCGCCCCCTGACACCAGCACCGCCGCCGCCGTCCCCAGTGGCAGCCTTGCCGCCATCTGCACGTGCGTCGCCCTGACCGCCAAGTACGCGCTGATTGATTCTTCTCCCCTCCGCCCCCCTCATGCTGCTGCTCTCCAACAGCCCCCCCTCCTACCCCCCAACCCCACTTCCCCCTTCCCCACCCCATTCATCTTGTTCGCTTGTTTGCAAGGCCGTCTTTATATCCCCTTGTTATCTTCTTCCCCCTCCTTTCCCTTGGTTCCACTTTTCATCATTTCCCTCACTCCCATGCACGCACGCACAGTGGCCCCTCTTATCTCGTATTGCTACCTGCCCACCTCTCCTCCACACATGCTTTGTCTTAAAGCCCGTTTGCAGTGCCTCTCCCCCTCCATCTCTCATGATCCCACCATCTGCCCCTCACCATCCGTGCCCGTCCCCCCACATCGCCTCCGCCCATGGAGGAACGACCGGATTAGTCCATGTGGCAAAATGCGGATTCCGGATTCACTATCCCCCCTGGCCCCGTCTGCTTTAGGACGATTCCTCCCCGCCCTGTTCCCTAGGCCAGAGGCGTGTTATACTTCTCCCCTTCCCTCCCTCCTCCCTGCCTCCCCGCCTCCTTCCCCCCCACCCTCGCAGCCTGCTTTTCCCGCTTTGTGTTCTCCGGCTCTCCCTCCGCCATGCCAGCATGTCTTCACCCTCCCTCCCTCACCCCCTCCACCACACCACGTCCCCTCTGCAGCCGCCCATCTCATCCCCCGCCCGCATGGCGCACACCATGGCACTGCCGCCCACCGCCCTCACGCCTGCCGTCGCGGCAAGCCAGCCGCTCTTCTCGCCTCATCCCCAAAAGCTGCGAGGCACGCCCTTCTGCATAGCTGCGCCGACGCAGTGTGCACGGGGTTCCCCAGCGCTGCAGGCAGCAGGAGCACGGAGAGCAGTGAGGGCAGCAGCAGTGTCCGAGAGTGAGAATGGGGCGCTGCCACAGGCAGGCCAGCAGCAGCAGGGGCAGGAAGGGCAGGAAGGGCAGGAGGAGCAGGGCGTGGACCCAGTGTTGGAGGAGGCGAGGCGCCGCAAGGCGGAGTGGCAGGCGCCGGCGCCGAGCCGCGTGGAGACCATTCTGGACGTGCTGTTTGTGTTCGGCGGTCTGCTGGACCGCCCCTTCGGGTCGGGGCAGAGCATAGCGGCGGCGGGCCGCGTGGTGCTGGCGCGCATTGAGCAGGAGATGGACGCACTGCGGTGCGAGGACGAGGGGGGCGCTGCTGCTGCTGCTGCTATGCGCACGGGCGCTGCTGCTGTTCCGCGCTCTGGGCTGGAGGGCGTGGCAGCGGATACAACGGAAGGGGAGGGCCAGGCAAGGAGAGGCGGGGCAGGTAACCGGCAGCAGGTGCTATTTGAGTTGGTGCGCATGGTGCAGCTGCTGGCGGTGGACGTGCAGATGGTGGGCGCTGCTGTGAAGGAAGAGACGCTGCTCAAGCGCCTGGAGGAGGCCAAGAGCCACTGCCAGCTCGCCATGCGTCTCGTGAAGAGCCTGTGACGAGTGGAGTGGCAGTGGATGGGAATTGATTACAGCGCGTACACGGTTGACTTGTCCATTGCACTGCTCGCGCACCGCATCTCTCCTAGTGACTCCATTTTCTGTGCCAAGGTGCGAGTTATAAGCACTGGATACCGTCTAGGCAGCACTGCTTGCCCTCATTCATGGAATATGTGAATAATAGAGTGCCAGCAGTGCCAATTTGCATCAAAGCCAGCCAGGCTATGTAACATGCCTACACAAGCAGCTTTCATTGCACTAAGATGTGATGACGATCCGCCCTTGCTATGATTCATGTAAGCACCTAGTTCCTTCACCACTGCTGCCAGGTCACGAGCTGCCGTCCTTGAGCCCCTGGAACGGCCCGCCCGTGCGCCCATCCGCATCCGCATCAGCCTTCCTCCGCCATGCCTGCCGCCCGCCTCTCCCCCCACCACCATCCCGTGACTCCCCGCCCCGCCCTGCCCCTCCTCGCCTCCCCTCCCAACCACCGTGCCTGCTCCACGTGCCGCTGCCACTGCCGCTGTACCGCCAGCCCTCCTCGCCCTCACTGCTGCTGCCACTGCCTGTGCTATCCCACCCCTCACCCCTGCTGCTCGCCCTCCCCGCTCCTGCACTGCCCTGTTTGATCCACCTGCCTCCCCTGCTGCTCACGCCACGGCCGCTGCTGCTGCTGAACCTATCGCTGCTGCCACTCGGGGCATCATTCCGTGACCTTGCAGCAGAGTCACCCACAACATCACCACCACTGGGACGGCTGCCAGCAGCGCCGTCAGCAGCAGCAGCACGGCCTCCCCTTTGGCCCGACGCCCCTGCCGACCGCACGCGTGCTCCCTTGCTCACTGCCCCAGCTGCTGCTCGCCCCTCCCCCTCACCATCCGACCTCTCCCCCTCGCCCTGCTTGCCATCCCCGCCTGCCCCCTTCCTCCCCGCCTCCCCAGGAGCCGCCTGCCTCTCCGCCTCCTCCGCCTGCCTGTCCGCCTCGGCCTGCTTGCCCCGCACCAGCTCGCGCACCGCCGCCAGCTCCACCAGAGGAATGGCGCGCGGCAACATGTTGCCGTACTTGCTGGGGGGGGAGGTGCCGGGATGCAACGACGAGGGGCAGGCGAGGAGTTGAGGTGGGCAGAGTGCATGGAGTGGGCATGGTGACAACACATAGGGTACAATCGTGCATTATGCATGCTTTACTGCTATCACACTATTACTCACCCTTTCTCACCACACCACTCGCAACCAATGCCCCACCCCCCACTCACCCCTTGCCCACCACCACCCACTCACCCCTTGCCCACCACCTCGCCCACGAAGCCTCTGACTCGCTCCAGCGCCACCACCTGCCGCGGGGTGGGAGGGAGGGCAGCACAAGCGGGCGCGCTTGGGGGCAACGCCCTGACGCCTCCACGGGGAAAAAGGCTGGAGCAAGGGGAGGCGTCTACGGCGCACAAAGTGGGTGCTAGAGGCTGGCATGGTGCAACGAAGAGCGCCATCGGTGGGCAATGAGAGCGGGAGCAAAAGTGGCAGTCGCACTGCAACGGACTTGCATGCGCGAGTGCATGGGATGCGACTCATGCACGAGTGCATGGGATGTGACTCATGCGCGAGGGCATGGGATGTGACTCATGCGCGAGTGCATGGGATGTGACTCATGCGCAAGTGCATAGGATGTGAGAGTGTGGGATGCATCATGCATGTCATGTGGCAGGGCGCGCACCTGCTTGTAGAGCGCGGAGTGCATGGTGCAGCGCACATACAGCGCGCACGCCTCCACGCGCTGCATGCCCGCCCCCAGGGCGGGCGGGGGGCCGCCCTCCTCCATGGCTGCTGCGGCCCGGCGCATGACGCTGCTGTACTGGGCGGAGCGGATGGCCGGCACAAAGATCTGCGCGCACTCAGTTGCACGGAGGAAACGCTCGGAGGAGACACTTGAGAAGGAACGACAGGCCGGAATGGACGACAGCGAGAGGTGCAGACGGAAAGAGAAGGGGATGGTGGGGGAAGAGTGGAAACATGCTAAGCGGGAGAGGGGGGGCGAGGGGACCGAAAACGTCAAAGTGAGTGCAATGGGCAAACCAGAGCGAAGCAGCCAGCCTCGCCACCCCATCTACCAGCGCACCGCCCTCCTGAAAAACACCCCCCTCCTCCGCACACTCATCCCTCCGCCCGCCCTGCTCTCCTCTCCCGCCCCCCCTAAGTCCTCCACAACCCCCCACTTTCCCTTCCCTGCCCCACCGCACCTCGCCCTCCGCCCCCAAGCGCTCACCTCGGTGTGCTCGCCCGGGTTGTGGTTGACCAGGATGTCAGCGATGTGGTGCGCCGCCTCGAACTCGCCCCCTCTGAACGTGCCCACCTTCCACCACTGCACGCCGCGCACCCTCATCGCCTCCACCGCGTCGCCCACCGCCTGCTGCCCCACCTGCCCCATCTGCCCCGCCTGCTGCTGCTGCTCTTCCGCCTTCCCCGTGTGCCCCTGCTGCGCCCCCTGCACCGCTGCATCCGCCACGTCCTTCTCCCCACTCCCACTCGCCTTGCTCTCCCCGGACCCCTCTCCCTCGCCCTCACCCTCGCCACCCACTGCCGCCTCTCCCCTCTCCGCTTCCGCCACGGTCCCCCCTTCGCTGCCCCCATCCACACCCGCTCCACTCTTTGCCCCCTCCGCCTTGCCCGCGTCCCCCCCTGCCCCCTCCGCCGTCTTCTTGCGCCGGCCCCCCGGGTTGGCGGGTCGCTTCCTCAGTGGCGCCATGGCGGCCATCACGCGCTCCTCCTGCTCGCGCCGCCGCTGCTGCACCGCCGCAGGCTCCTGACCAGGGAGGGGAGATGGAGGGGGGGGAAAGGAAGAAGAGACGGGGGGGAGGGAAGAGAGGGAGCTGTGGTGGCGGCGGAAGGAGGGAAGGTGGAAACGGGGCGGTGGCGGTCGGAAGGGGGTGGCTGATGGAATGGAGGGGGGGGGTGGGTGGGGAGGGGGGCCGCCGTGAGTGAAGCAGCGGTGGCGCTTGCTGGCGCTCGTGGTGGCCGACCCCTCGAGATCCAACGAGGAGGGAGGAAGCAGCGAGAGGTCAGCCGGCGGTACGGCCGACAGGGCGACGGCGTTGAGAGTGCAGAGCAGGCGGCGGGCCGAGTGCTGGAGAGGGCTCTCCTCGTGCCACCACAGAGCGGTGGCCAGGGCGAGGATGTCGGGATGGACGACGTTCGGGGAGGGCGGAGCCTGGAGACCGGGAAGTCGCTCCCCGCGTGAAACTCGCGCATGGGGAGATTGGCCTCGCGCATGCAGCCCGCGCCAGTCAATCGCTAAACCCCTTTTGTACCCCCACGGCAAACCCCACAACAGTAATAAACCCCCGTGACGCCCGCTTTAAACCCCCGGCGCGGACCCACCATGAGTCGCAGGCGTCGCTCCTGCCGCTGCTTCCGCAACTCCTTCCGCGACGCCCCTCCCTCCGCACCACCGCCCTCCCCCGCATCATCGCCCCCCCTGCTCTCATCCGCCCCCGCCCCCACCCCCTCTGCCTCCCCCAGGGCGCCGCTCTCCCTTCCGCCCTCGCTGTCGGCGGAGCTCGCCTCCGCCGTTGCCGCATCCGCGCCCCCATTCACGGCCTCCGCTGCAGTCACTCTCGGCGTGGCGCCGGCAGGCGTGGCGCGCACCTGCTGAGCGACGAGCCTCGGCGATGGGCATCGGGATCGGCGGTGGAAATGTGGGGCGACTAAGAGGCTCCGTGCAAAGCGCGCGCGGGGGTAGTGGGCGGAAGGCGAGGTGGACGCGACAAGGCTACTGGGAGAGAGGCGGCAAGCAGAAGGCGGGGAGGGCACGCGGCAGGGCGCGTGGAAGAGGCGGGCGGCAGCAAGCGAGGACGCGGCGTTGATGGCGTCCATGGGGAGCGCGGCGATGAGGTTCCCGGCCGCTGGGATGGCGTTAGGGCACATTTGACCGTTGCCTGCAAAACAAAATCCAGGGGGACAAAATGGTACGCGCATTTGGGCGTTTCGCTCTTACTGTAACAGCCTAATGCTATTTTATGCATATCCTATACGCCTTTGTGGTTTCATGCCTCAATATTGGGTTAAGTGTGATGATGGGGGTACCACAAGGATTGTATGAAAATGGGTTCCCTGTTTCGTCTAGAGCTTTGTGAATTTATTCAGGGCTCTTCTGCTCTATTGTTGCGGTCATCAGGGTCCAGTTACATAACTGTGGCAGTTGCCAGTCAGTTGTAGTTGTGATATAATTGATACTTAGCATTTCTGTAAGTCGATTAAGTGTAGTTAGTGTCGAATCCTACTGTAGAACATAAGTCCGTAGGATGACGTCAGCAAATAGCGCTCGTCATAGGACGGTCGTTTCAGTCACGCGAACAGTCGCACCTCTTCATTATCATCTAGGGCGCATAGCGCGATAGTGACGAACAGGTACATTAGCGAATAGGTACTTTTCGTAGAACTATAAATCCTTGTTTGGTCTTTTCATTATTAACTTTGATTACCAACAAGTTCACATACTCAGGTTATTCAACCTTGACATTTATATTTTACAAGACTTCCGCTGTCTTAATAGTCTACCATTCCAGCAAAGATCCTGGACCAACACTTGAGGATTTGCCAAGTGTTCGTGTTTATAGTTTTGTACTTAGTCTACTACAACACCAGACGATTTATTTCATGGTATGAGAGCTATCTGGAATTAAGACTACCTTCAACTATGACTGGTTCATCACCAGCACCATCTGCTGGATTTGTTACTGGGACTACTGGAGCACATGTCTCCACTACCGCCGCTGGTCTCTCAGCCTCTGGGCACTTTCCACCAGCCTACGCTAATATCGGTATGCAACAACAGAATCCGCCTACTGTGAATACTCCAGGTGCTCCATCAACTGCACCTGCAACAGCAGCAGCAACAACAGCACAGCAACAAGCATCAGTACAACCACCAGTTTCAACGCAATCAATTCCATCTGCGTTCAGTGGAATGAGCCTTGACGGCTCAAGTTACATGCGTGGAGCTACAGCTCCAAGTACTGGTTCGTTCGCTTTCTCACCTTTCGTACAGCAGCCGCAGTCGCAGCTGTTTCAGCATCCTTTCTATGTCTTCGGTCGTTCCCCTGCTCAGCAACAACAACAACAGCAGTATCAGCAACCACAGCCAGTACAGCAACAACAACAACAACAGCAACAGCAGCAACAGCAACAGCAACAGCAACAGCAACAACCGCAACAGCCCGGCATTGTTTTTCAGCCTCCAAATTTACTTAACAATACTCAGATCAAGACAACCGTACCTTTTAATGGTGTTGACTTCTACTCATGAAGCTTTGAGTTTGAGCTCTGGCGCAGTCCGCTGGGCTATGGCCGTTCTTCACTGGCGAGTTTACGTATCCTGTCGTAGGAACACAACTGGAGCAGCAGAGTTTCTTACACGCCTCTCTCGGGGCGTATACAGTTCTTGAACGGAACTTGTCGCCGAAGGAGCAGCTCGGCGTTCGATCATTTCACTCAAGTTTCACCCCAGCTGAAACTGCATGGAACCACCTGAAAGGGTATACATGGCAAAAGATACGATAACAGTGAGTAAAATACTTTCGCAGCTGACAAGTGTGCAGATGATGACAAATGAAAACGTCATGGACTACGTTAACCGCGTCCGTACATTACGTGACCAACTGGAGAAGAGCGGAGGATACTTCCCTCGTGAGATGTATCTCACTGTCCTTCTTGCTGGTCTTGGACCCGAATGGCAACAGACGCGCGCCTTCCTGCGCATGAATCCCAACCTCTCCGAAGCTGAAATTTTTTTCTTATCTTCAAGCAGAGTACCAAGATCTTGACCTGCAGTCACAACACAACCAGAAAAGGGGAGTTCATTTAAGTTTTTACTCCAATCCAGAAACACAGCATCGACATCCACCAAAGTATCCGTTCTGCCATTTCTGTAAGAAACCATGACATACTTACCAAAACTGTCGCAGCCGTCATCAAAATCGTCGCAATACTTCGCAGCCGTATCAACGATTGCAGCAGTTATCGAAGTCACAACAGCCACAGCAGCAGTTAACGTCTCAGCAGCAGCAGATGCCGAAACCGCCACAGAATCCATCGACGTCGCAGCATCGCCCGCCGGTCTTTGCATCTGCCACAACAGGAAAAGGATTTTGCGGATGTGTTACAATAGTTGATGTTTCAGAAACAGATTTCGAGACACGACTTGAAGAAACCACAAGTGCTGAAGGCATTCCTTTACCTCAAGTTTACGCTAACCTCGCTCGTACAATTTCAGGTCCAAATTCCTGGTATCTCGACAGTTGCTGCGGATGGCACATGTGCTCAGCAGAAACAAGCTTCATTACCAACCAGCAGGGAACTTCTGGAGATTCTGAACGCGTGCTTGCACTTGGTCCCTGGGATCACCCAGAAGAAACACATTATCAACACGTGGATATTGACTTTCGAGCAACTACTGTACCAACAGCTTCTCGAACAGCAGCCGCCGTACTTACCGCGTTGGATACCTGGGAATTCAACACCGCCGATGAAAGTGCAACCGCGTGGCGAACGTTTTATATTACCCGTGCAGCCTTCCAAGGAACTCCAGCACCACTTTGGGGAGAGATAAGTGGTCTTGCAGCTGATGAACCTGATACCGTTGAAGAAACCGAACAGGAAAAAGTAGCTGAACAGCCGAGGCCAACAGTAGCTGGGCAGCCGAGTCCAACAGTCGTTGTCGCCGAAATACCTGCCACGACATCAACAGAAGCAGTGTCAAATGTTATACTCGCAACTGTAGCAGCACCAACAAATGTCACGTTACCCATTTCGTCGAAGGAGAAATTGACAAGTCACCAGCGCTTTCTCATTTCATTCTTTCTTCTTTTTATACTAACGCCGATTTCTACCTGCGATCATCAGGACACAAAGCCACAGAAGATATATGGCATCAGCGGTTAGGACACCCATCACAAGGGATACTTAATCATTCAATCTGAGCAGCAGTTCTTGATAAAAACAGTTTACTTTTACCTGATGGCACGGAAATGAAGCTGCAGTCCCGTCCGACGGTTTGCACCACTTGTCCAGTTGCCAACCTTACGCACGATCCATTTCCAAGTCATTTTCCTGGCTCAACACGTTACACACTGATGTAGGAAGTCTACAACGACATACTAAACTTACCTGAAGCAGGACCTAAAGACGAGAAGTACGTGATAACATTCATCGAAGCGTCTACACGCTACGTCTGGACAGCAAACCTTCCCGCTCGTTATCTCGTGCACTCCGTTTTCGTCGCGTGGCTCGCTGTCGCTGAACGAGAGTCCGGCGTGAAACTACAAGAATTTCAGAGCGATGGTGCAGGGTAGTACACCAGCAACACCTTCACAGAATATCTTCAGACACTCGGCATCAAACGGAAGCAGGCACTGCTGCATGCATACCAACAGATGGGAGTAGCAGAAAGGATGAACAGAACTCTGCAGGAGAAGATGCGTGCTCTGCTGACGCAGGCAGCACTTCCACCGCGTTTTTGGCCGTATGCGATGGACCACGCAGTGCTATTACACAATCTTCTTTCTTCAACGTCCCTGCCCCAGTTTTCTTCTCCGCACCTGCAGTGGACACGTATAGTTGGAAGCACAAAACTTTTACGAGTTTTCGGGTGTGTTGTCCAGTTTCGTCCTCCAACTGCAGCCCTCGGCAAATTTTCCGAACGAGCAAAATGGGGGGTACACCTTGGCATCGAAAAACAGTATCACGCGTGGAAGATTTTGGATCTCCGGTCCCATCAAATCCTTCCATCACGTGATTGTATTTTCTATGAAAGACTCACCTTGCCCGTTTTTCGTGCCCACCAGGCAGCAGCTGCCAACCCCGCCAGGCTGTTCGAAGGCTCGCGTGCGTTTGCCACTAACGAGGCCGAAGCTGATGTACAGGATGAAGCAGTTTCTGAAGCATCCGAAGCTGCCGCAACTGACATTCCCAAACCTTTAACCTCGACTGGCATACCAGAGTTTATTCCTCTTGCAGATGCTGACCCGGATGATGTTCGCGAAGTTCATCTCAGTTACGAACGCGATCGCCAACAGCAGCCTATGCCTGTAGTCTCCGACGAAGCAGTCCGTGTTACACCTGACAAAATTGGGGGGGAAGAAGGACCAGAAGAAAATTTCGCAGGTGCAAACGAAGAACGTCCGCGCTTTACAGAAACAGGATTACAGATACTGGGGTTCGCAGTCGCAGTACAGTACAACGACAGTAAAATACCTTAACCGAAATCCGTTCGACAAGCTCTTACGAGTCCTCACCGAGAAAAATGGCGCGAAGCCATGGACAAGGAGCTAACAGCACTCAAGAATCGCGGCACATGGGATTTAATACCGACTTCAGAAGTAAAAGGGAAGAAGGTACTTACCGGTAAATGGGTCTTCCGCGTCAAAACTAATGCAGATGGGTCGATTGAAAAGTTCAAAGCGCGATGGGTCGTCCGCGGATTCGAGCAGACTTACGGCATCGACTATGAATTAACATTTGCTCCTATCGGCCGACATAGAAGCGTTCGGATTCTACTTTGTGTCGCCGCCTGCCGTAATCTCCGACTTCAATAAATCGACGTATCGAATGCGTTTCTCTACGCGCCTGTCGACGCACTCATCCTGGTAGAGTACCCGCATTCTTATACTACTAACCCATCGAGCGTTTGCCGTCTACAAAAATCCCTGTACGGCATTAAACAAGCACCACGGCTCTGGCAGCAGTATCTCCACTCACAACTGATCGCTGCCGATTTTCGTCAACTACCGCATGATCAAGTAATGTATCTACTGACCGACAGCAGCAATTACATTTTACTCGTTGCCTACGTCGATGACATCCTATTCGCCAGTACTACCGATTCCCTCGCTGATATCTTCATACTGAAACTACAGAAAAAA